AAGGTCTCCTGATGAGTAGATGCGTCTCAGGTGTGCTGGAGGGCTTCAGCCCAGGAGACCCACGGCGCACTCTGCTGGAGGAAGGTGGTACATCCCCAGATCCCAACAACCCCAAACTATGTAATGCAGAAATCCCTAGTCTCCCGGAAGTTCCGGGAGTCTCCCTGATATAGATAGTTGTTCACAGATGCCCGCAAGTCTGATAAATTATCCCGGATTTTAGACTTTGTGAGGTGTTGTTTTTTAATGCCAGTGACAGCGAGCGGGTTAGGCAATGATTCATGCACCATGTGTGGATTAGAACTACTGCGATTGCGGGAGGAGGTTCCTGGTGAAACCTGTCCAAAAGCGACGCTCTGATCAACCAGCGTTCCAGGCGACTGGTTGTCAGAGGGCTGATTGGATCAGTCCGATAAGTTTGTCTGGGTTACTCTCTGGCAGTCACCTAGTTACCACTCAAAGCTGTGCATCCTGGGAAACGGCAGAGGTTCCATCCTCGAGTAAAAAACGAAAATATAGGACTAATTTTACAGCAGAATATAGTAAAGTATATCTACGTCTAGTGAAGGGGAGGAACAGTGGTGGATCTAGACCAAATATACCAGGGGGCCAGGAGGGGGGCAGTGTGTTTTCATGGGGGCCCAGAAAAGCATGAAATAAAAAACAGGGCAAGGGACTCAAATATATTAAGAGAGCTGCATGAAGTGAAATTTCTTTTCAATGAGGTTCAATAAAAATTCTATTTCTTATAGGGTCAATATACATTTAAAATTTAGGAATTTTACATATTTTTTTTACTTAATTCAAGTTAAAACTACCGTTTTCTATAAATTTGAATTTGAACTCAAGAAAAACTGTTAAATTCATCTGTAAAAATAAGAGCAATTTTTTATTTGTTGTGGAAAAAAAACATTTGACAGATGAAAACTGGGATCCTATCTCAATCCCACTGAAGCTATCATGTTATTGTTTTTGAATAATTAGTTAAACAGAATTTGTAATGAAACAATGAAATAGATCCAAAGGAGCTATCAGTAATCATGTCTGTTCCAGTGCATATTATCATCAGAATTTCTTTTAAGACTTATGTCTTCAGTACAGGGGCCATAACAGGGCCAGGGCAGGATCTACAGGGCCATTGGCCCCTCGTTGGCCCCTGCCTAGAACCGGGCATGGTGAGGAATGATGACACCATGGCGAGGTGCACTGTATGCTGAAGTCTCATGAAAAACAGAAAGCAGAAGCCGATGTTCAAGGCTACAAGATTGAAAGTAATAAAAATAAAAGACCAATACTGTTCTGTTTAGTGTTTAAGGAATTACTGTTAGTTAATAAACAGTTGTTGAAAAGTTGCTGGCCTTAAGTGTGTAGCTATGTATGTTTCACGGTGTGGGTCCGTTGTCCCCGGGGGGCGGGTGGTTGGGGGATAGGCATCTCCCTGAAATGAGTTTTTGGAACTTGGGATGTCTGGTAATGATGATAGGATAAACCAACCAACCCCTTGATGAATATGATAAAATAACATAACCCCAATAAAAATATGTTGGTTAATGTTCCATGGTAAAGTTAGTTTAGTAAACACAGGTGCTGCTACCCATAAACTTCATGCTAGCACTAGTGGCTAATGATGATTTTTTTGTAGCCTGCACTGAGTGCATCCTCTCTGTCAGGATTTCAAATGGTTCATCATTTTGTCATTGGCATCCTTTTTTACACAATGAGTGCACAGTAGTCCAGTGTTACCCTACAGTATCTGGAAGACTGAATAGATCTGATGAGCAACTTACAATAACTTCTTATGATGATATAACGTGACGTGTGATTGACTGTGACCTCTCTCTCTCTCTCTCTCTCTCTCTCTCTCTCTCTCTCTCTCTGATCTAAGAATTGTTGCTGTGGTGGAGTTTACATTTCCATTAACCTGGCCTCAAAGTATTGCACAGTTGGTATTGCACAGTTTAATACACATTCAGTACACCAAAAAAAATATTGTGGGCCAGTCTAGTGCAAAATGCCAGGGCCGATTTGTTGTCCCAGTCCACCCCTGATTTGAACATACAGTAAAAGACTGTATTTAGCAATGACACGTAAATGACTCATATATTGTTAGTATGAATACAGCACATATAAAACATGGTGAAAATTAGCTTAGTAGCTGAACATCAAGCAGCATAAAATGCTTAACATTAGACATATAATCATAAAATATGCAAGTAACACCATACAGTAAAATGAAACACCATTAAACTCACCTTCTGACATGTGCACACAGCAAGTCCACTAGGTAAACACATATAAAGGAAGAATGTTAGGAGAAAACAGGAAATAAACAGTGTTGGGCACGTTACTTTGAAAAAGTAATTAGTTATAGTTACTAGTTACTTCTCCCAAAAAGTGAGTTACTGAGTTACTCCACAATAAAAGTAACTAACTATTGCGTTACTTTTGCGTTTCTCGCCCCCGTATCCCTCACCACCCAGCCCCCACCTTCTCGCCGTGTGTTTCCAAAGCCAGCTGAATAGAGCGGACGACAAAGACAAGAACCTGCAGAGAGTTTAGCATTTATTGCAACTCAACGTAAATTACATCAGGGGGGAACGCCATGTGAAGTTTTTTAACAGGTCATTCAGATCTGGTGAGTATATGAAATTAATAATTGGGGATGTCTAATTCTGGAATCCTGTGTGTTTGGGTTGTTATAGATACTGCAACATCT